CTCAGCACCAATATGTAGTGGTGAAAATACTGAATCAAAGATCTCAAAAATTCTGATTGAAAATAATTTTTCAGTCTAAACTTCTACACTCAGTTACTCAGTCCAGTGTGGGATTAGGATTTTAAAATTTGCAATCAGATACATGTCCAGTACACCAACAATATCACATACATAGTATTCCTTTCAAAAATAGTAAAGCAAAATGTAATTATGAGAATGATCAACCAAAATCAGAATGGGAGACAGTCTACAAACAATTGGTCTAGACTACTCAAAAAGGCAGTGTAATGAAAACCAATAAAATCCTGGAGGAGTCTGATAGGGATTGCGTTAAATATGTAGATTGCTTTGGGTAGTATAGACATTTGAAAAATATTTGTTCTTCCAATACAGAGCATGGAATGTCTTGCCATTTCTTTGTGCCATCTTCAATTTCTTTCATCAGTGTTTTATAGTTTTCAGAATACAAGTCTTTCACCTCTTTAGTTAGGCTTATTCCTAGGTATCATGTTGGTTTTTTGTGCAATCGTAAATGGGATTGATTCCTTAATTTCTTTTTCTTCTGCCTCATATTAGTGACAGAAATGCAACAGACTTCTTATGTTGATTTTGTCTCCTGGAACTTTATAGCATCTTTCACAGAGCTAAAACAAACAATCCTAAAATTTGTATGAAACCACAAAATGCCCCGAAAAGCCAAAGCAATTTTAATATAGAAGAGCAAAGCTGGAGACATCACAGTTCTGGACTTCAAGTTACATTACAAGGCTGTAGTGATCAAAATAATACGGGTACTGGCATAAAACAGACACATAGATCAGTAGGACAGAACAGAAAACCCACAACCATATGACCAATTAATCTGCAACCAAGTGGAAAAGAATATCCAACAGAAAAAGACAGTCTCTTCAACAAATGGTGTGAAAATTGGACAGCATCATGCAAAAGAATGAAACTGGATCACTTCCTTATACCGTACACAAAAATAAATTCAAATGGATTATAGACCTAAATATGAGACATTAGGAAACCTAGTTAAAATCCTAGAGGAAAGTACAGCCAGTATCCTCTTTGATACTGGCTATAGCAACTTCTTTCTTAGATATGTCTCCTAAAGCATGGGAAACAAAAGCAAAAATAACCTTTTGGGACTACATCAAGATAAAAAGCACAGTGAAGGAAACTATCAACAAAACTAAAAGGCAGACTACGGGATGGAAGAAGATATTGGCAAATGACATATCAGATAAAGGGTTACTATCCAAACTCTATATAAAGAACTTTTCAAATTTAACACCCATAAAATAAATAATCAGGTGAAGAAATGGGAAGAAGACATGAATAGACATGTTTCCAAGGAAGACCTCCAGGTGGCAAACAGACACATGAAAAGATGCTCAACATCATTCATCATCAGGGAAGTACAAATCAAAACCACAATGAGATATCACCTCACACCTGTCAGAATGGCTAAAATTAACAATACAGGAAACAACAGGTGTTGGTGAGGATGCAGAGAAAAGAGAACCCTCTTACACTGTTGGTGGGAATGCAAACTGGTGCAGCCACTCTGGAAAACAGGATGGGACAGGTTCCTCAAAAAGTTAAAAATAGAACTACCCTATCATCCAGCAATCACACTACTAAGTATTTACCCAAAGGATACAAAAAAACTAATTACAAGGGATACATTCAGCCTGATATTTATAGCGCCATTATGTTCAATAGCCAAATTGTGGAAACAGCCTAAGTTCCATCAACTGATGAATGGTTAAATGGATAAATAATGGATATATATAGTGGAATATTACTGAGCCATAAAAAGAATGAAATCCTGACATATGCAGTGACATGGATGGAGCTGCAGAGTATTGTGCTAAGTGAAGTAAGTCAGGGAAAGACAAATACCATATGATTTTACTCATCTGTTGACTTTAAGAGGCAAAAGAAACCAGCAAAGCGGGGGAGGGAGGCATATCAGGAGGACAAAAGGAGAGTGAGACAAACCAAGAAACAGACTGTTAATTCTAGAGACCAAACTGATAGTCACCGGAGCAGAGAGCACTTGCTGTAATTAGCGCTGGGTGTTGTATGGAGGTACTGATTCACTGTATGGTAAACCTGAAACTAATATTACACTATATGTTAACGAACTGGAATTTAAACAAAAACTCAACAAAAACACCTGGAGGACTACACTAGTTCTAAAAATACTAAGCAAACATAATAACCAAATGCAATTCACAAATCTTGATTGGATTCTGATTTTTTTAAATGTTTATTTATTTTGAGAGACAGAGACAGCATGAACAGGGAAGGGGCAGAGAAAGAGGGAGACACAGGATCCGAAGCAGGTTCCAGGCTCTGAGCTGTCAGCACAGAGCCTGAAGTGAGGCTCGAACTCACGAACCACAAGATCATGACCTGAGCCTAAGTCCGACACCTAACCGACTGAGCCACCCAGGCGCCCCAATTGGATTCTGATTTTTAAAAGTAACTTTAAAAGATTCGCTTTTGACAATAGCAGAATTTTTACTATGGACTACACAATAAATGATATTTGGGGATTATTCTAAGGTTTTTTTTCCTTTGGTGGGAGTAATACCATTGTATTTATGTAGGAGAATATCCTTATACTCAGTAAATGCCAGCTGAAGTATTTAGGGATGAAATATCAGATATCCAGAATGGACTTGCAAATGATTTAGAAAAACTGTATATATAAAGTAAGATAATACAAATGGGTCAATAGGCATATCTAGATAAAAAGTAAAGGAGTGTTCATTTTACTCTTATTTTAACTTTTTTGTATAATTAAGAAGTTTCATCTACAATAAGAAGGATGAGTATGGAGGGAATATAAAAGTATAGAAGAGAGAGAGACAGAATAAGTATCACTCTCTAATATTCCTCTTAGTAAAAGTTACTGAAAGAGATATTTCAGCAAGAAAAGAGAACTAGTTAAAATGGAATTTGGTAAAAGATCTCATACACAAACAGTGGCAGGTTGATGGGGGGGTGGGGGGGTCTTAGGAAAACCATTCTGTCATCAGTCCAGACCAGAGTGCGATGAGATGGCCCTGTGAGAGGGACTCTCCAGGTAACACAAAACAAAATGATAGATTATCTGGTATTTTTGAATATTTGAAAATACAATTGCTAGTTTGATATAACTATTGGGATAATTAAAAACAAAAAATTCAAATTACATAGAAAATCAAGAAAATGATAAAATGAATGAGCAATTATTAATATTAGGTAAAACAAAATGTGTATGGGTAAAAAAACTAATTGTGTTAATCTATTTGGAAACCATGAATAACATTTATTGTTATTTAATGATAACGTAGATATTGGCTAACAAAAGTTATGATGTAACTATGTTAAGGTTCATCATGTTAGGGAAAAACATGAGGAAGAGTCTATAAGAGAACTAAATCCTTAACAACCTGAAGGGCTAGTCAATATGAAATAATCAAAATTTATAAACCAAGGATTGTTAACCATATTACTTAATAACACAAAAATTAACACTCAAATAATAGACAAAAAAGCTTACAGAGAACCAGGGATTAGAGAGGAACAAGGAAGTGCTGTTTTTGGGGTTTTTTTTGCATAAACCTTTTAGTATTATTGTAAAATAATCTTATATGTTAAAACTAACTTTAGAATATTTAATTTTTAATTCAATGGGAATCGAATTAGAATATTCAAACATCAAATGGATAAAATATCCCACGCTGCAGAGAAAAAATATAATGAGATGGAAACTATAAGTTGGAAAAGAAAAGAAACTGAAATCAGACTTAGAAAACCTCATTTATAAACAATAGCATTACATAAATGGTAAACCAGATGAGAAGTCATAATATTTTTAAAACTTTCTTAAATTCATGAAAAATATTAGTTTTCTGATTAAATAGGCTTAATGATCTTAGTCAAAATTGATGTGGAAACATTCATATTCACACATTTTTTTAAGTTTCTGAACATAATAGAGAGGTTTATAATCCTCCAGATTGAAATGAAGTTACGAATTTGTGAGGTGGGTTGGAAATGAATTCGAAGGAAAGTGACACACCAGAAAGGCCCAGAAGCTGAAAAACTAAAGATTTTTTCAGAAGTAGAGAATAGTCCAGGTGGATGGCTAGGATTTTGAATAAAGTCAGTGACCACTAAGGGAAACAAAACTAAATCTCTCACCGAGGAATCAGATAACTGCTGGCTTGCTTTCACATTTTTCAATAACAAGTCTGCCTTAGCTTTGATAGCATTTTAGTTAGGTAATCAGACTCACCACCAACATCATTTTGTTCATGAGACTTAAAAACTGTGCACACCAAAATAAAGGGGCTTTATTTTGTTTCTTCTTTTTGTTTTTTTCTCTTCCCTTCCTTCCTTTCTCCTAGCCTCTCTCTCTCCTTCCCTTCCCTTCCCTCTCATCTTCCCTTCTTTCCTTCCTTTTCTATTGTCTTTACCTTTTTCTTTTTTCCCTTTTATTCTTTTTGTTTGTTTTGCAATGATGACTATAATTTTCTCACTACAAGTTGACCACAATTTAAGGATCACGTTTTTATAATTTCAATCATTATCATCTCAATATTACTAGAAGAAGAAGAAAAGCTCCCAGTGGGACTGTAACAATATGTTAAAACCACAATTATGTTAGCACGCTATCTACCCATATTTTCAAAGGAAAACTTATTTTTAATTCTTTATATTGTCTTCAGTCATATTGGTCAAATTTCTGGATAAATCCTAGAGTAGGTATTGCTACTTCAATGGTATGCTGAGTTTAATTATGAAACATTAACCTGATCCATGAAATATTATTCCAGGTTATGAAAAAAATTGTTCATCTAGTAAAATCCAATGCAGAGTAACTAAGCAAACATAAAAACTAAATTAAGGTCACATTATATAAAATCTCATTAAGTAAAATCAGACCAAAGTTAATCAAGTTGATTGCTAATAGGTCTCTCTACCATTTTCTGCCTCAGGGGTATGATGATGGCTACGGGGGTGAATATGATGACCAGACCTATGAGACTTATGATAACAGCTATGCCACCCAAACGCAAAGGTAAGGCATTTGCTGTCTAAAACATCCTTGTCAGGATTCTTTCTAATCCTATTTTGTTTCTTGTATCGGAGTACCATTTATATTATGTGAGAGTTTCTAGCAGTGGTTTGTCTCCATCGTCTTTCTGAATTACTAAATTGCTTACTAGACTGAGGTAAAGAAAATAATCTTGCAATTGTTAATAATAATAGTATGTTTGGGCACCTTGGTGGCTCGGTCATTTAAGTGTAGGACTCTTGATTTAAGCTCAGGACATGATCTCAGGGTTTGTGAGATGGAGCCTGCTTAGGATTCTCACTCTCCTTCACTCTTTGCCCCTCTCCAACTCACCTGCATGAGTGCATTCTCTCTTTCTCTCAAAAATTTTTTTAAAAATAATAGTAGTGTGTTATTTTAAGATGAGGTGATTATCATAACCAATAAACTCATTAAATGAGCTTTATGTTAGTTTTAGAAATTATTTATTTTTAAAATTTTTTACATCTTTATTTTGAGAGACAGAGACAGAGAGCGAGCAGGGAGAGGCAGAGAAAGGGAGACACAGAATCTGAAGCAGGATCCAGGCTCTGAGCTGTCAGCACAGACCCCGATGTGAAGCTCGAACCCACCTGAGCCGAAGTCAGACATTAACCAACTGAGCCACCCAGGCACCCCTAGAAATTATTTTCGGAAATTCATAATTAACACAACAGTGAAACACAGAGCACTTGTTCAATGGAGCTTTTTCCCCTTAAAATGTAATTTTAAAAAACTGTTTGTTGATTTATTTGAAAGAGAGAGAGAGCATGTAAGAAGGGGAAAGGCAGAGAGAGAGGGATAGAGAGATTCCCAAGCAGTTTCTGTGCTGTCAGCTGCAGAGCCAGATGTGGGGCTTGATCTCACAAACTGTAACATCATGACCTGAGCTGAAATCAAGAGTCAGATGCTTAACCAGCTGAGCCACCAGTCATCCCTGTAAGTTTTATTTGTAAAAGAAAAGCTATAGGAATGTTATTGGTGCTCTGAAAAGTAAGTTTATAAAACATCTGATAGCATGAATAATTCCTTTCCTGTCTTGATGGATCTCTAAATTCATTATTGACTATATATCTTTAATTAAATTTGAAATATCAATGAATTTTTACTTCTTTAAAGTCAATGTTTTGAGGTAGTAGTTACATACATTAAATTTTGCCCATTTAGAGTACAGAGTTTGTATGAGTTTGGCAAATGCAAACTACAGTGTGACCTCCATCAAAACTAAGTTATAGGGCAATTTAATCAGCCCCAAATGATTTCTTAGGGACTGTATAGATTTTCTCCCCTCCCAGGCCTTGGAAACCACAATCAGTTTTTTGCCATTACACTTTGGAGTTTTCTAGGATGTCATTTAAGTAGAAGTGATGCAAAATGTGGCCTTTGAGTCTGGCTTCTTTAATTTGCATGATGTATTTGATATTTATTTTATTCGTGTTGTTTTGTGTATCAAAGTTCTCTTCCTTTTTATTACTATGTAATGTTTCATCATAAGGATGCACCCCAGTTACTTCATTCACCAGTTGAAGGACATATATTGGTTGTTTCTTTTTTATTTTTCTTTTTTTGGCAATTATGAATAAAATTGGCATTAACAAATTCATTCTTAGAAAAATTAATCCCCTAAATATTTTTCTGAAAACAAAAGTTACAAGTATCATGGGAAAGTAGGAGGAGTCCATATGACTACGTATAATTAATGGAAACCAATAAATTAGTTGTCACAAAATCATTATGGCATTGGCCATTTATTGATGAACTTTACTGGGACCCACTGAGATCTGGATGCTTCATTAAGTAATATTTGGAGGAAGGGAGGTGACAAAGAAAGAAACTAAGGTCATTATGGAATGGAGGAAATCTACATGTACTGCCTAAGGTGCATTTTGTATGGTCTGAAGAACAACATAGTGAAAGGAGTGAAGGAAAATTGTACTTAGAGAGAATACTGTAAGCATTTAGGGAAAAGATGACTGTGAACTGATACTTTTAAACCTAAGCATAACATGAGATATCATTATAGAAATGACCATCTTCAATTTTGAGTAATTGATTACTGTGTACCATGTAAAATAGAAAGGCCATGAGCTAAGATTTTATACTATGGGTGATAGCTTAATTGTCCCAATTGTATATTGATAGACACACAATTATTTAGGATGGGGGAAAGTTTTGTATCATGTCACAGACACTGAATAGAGTGTTGTATACAAACTGGCTATATAGTTAAAGCATCTGCTAATATTTTCAATCAAATTATTAGTTCATTATTGATATTAGTGCATACAAATGGTGGTAATAAAGTTCTTTAGCTTGTTTCAGAAACTATTTGGTAGAAAAAAACAATTACCGCACACTAAAAAGACAACTAGAACAGAGTGAAACAATTTCTTGATTTAGTTTTAAAGACCTGCATTCAACTGATAGAGATTTTGAAATAATTTTCTGCAAGTGAGAGACTTTCTGCCTCTTTCTCTGGTAAGACTTAAGTGGGCTTAGCTAACCCTAAAACACAAGGAAGAAGAAAATTTGGGGATTAGAATAATTTGTTTTTGAACACCTAAAAAGTGAATGTTAGAAGAATTGAACATACTTATGCATAAAAAGTAATAGAGTAATTTCAGACAAAATTTCTCTTTTCTTAATGAAGTATAATTTATATGTAAAAATATATTTTCTATGCACTTCTGCTATCTCCTTTTTTTTCTTTCCTATCTATTCCATATCCTGTGGCTAAATTCATCCCATCAAATGAATTTGCTCCTAGGCACAGCTCAAAGCCAACTCTTCCAAAAAGTGTTTTCTTAATTCTTTATTTGGGAATAACCTGGTTTTGCTCTATCAGTAGCACCATATATTTATTTCTCTATGCCACTTTCTATCTCTGTCTTACATTTTATTTATCACTCTTACTACTTTCCTAGAATCCTTGTCTGATACCCTCATATCCCTCACAGTATCTAGGATTGAGTCTTTCATAGGGTATTACTGAATAGATGCTAGTTGAATACATGAATGTCAGACCTAATGTGTACCTGCTCTGTGAAGGTACAAAATAAGACACTCTTGGGGTTCCTGGGTGACTCCATCAGGTAAGTGTCTTGGTTTTAGCTCAAGTCATGATCTTATGGTTTGTGGGTTTAAGTCCCATGTCAGACTCCACACTCTGAGCAGGGAGCCTGCTTGGGATTCTCTCTCCCCTTTTTCTCTCTGCCCCTCCCTCTCTCATTCCCTATCTCAAAATATACAAATAAACTTAAAAAAAAAAAAGAGCTTATTCTCTCAAAGGAGAATAGAACATGCAGAATTCTATGTATTATATTTATTGACAAAATATTTATATAAATCTGAGATATCTAAGTGCTTAACCAGAAGAGATAAAGAAAGCAGGTCATGAATTTAATTAAAATGATACTAATATTCTATGTTACAATAATTATAAAATATCTATTTTGGTCAAAACATATCCTCAGTATTGGTAGAATATCTGGCACACTAAACATTCTCAGTAGAGATTTGTTGAACAAATGAACAAAAACTAAATGAATACATTAATGAATGAATGAAATTAACAAGCATTATTTCACAAAACTCTATGAGGAAGAATTTTTATATATACACCAGTTTGCAATAGAAATTGATAAGCACTGAGAAAATTCATGACATAATATATTAAATTCCTACATTTAGATTAGTTCTATTAATCCAACTGTGCCAACAGAGAGAATATTGACAGTTTAGTTAAATAAGCACTTATTAAATGATGATATGTGTCAGAGAGTATACTCACCATTCAGTGACACTTATTTTTTAAAATTTTTAACTATATTTTAATATTTTCCCCTAACAATTTGTTTGAAGAACCATTTGTGAGCTGTGTATGTTTTTAAATAACTATATTATAAGTGAAACAACTATAGAGAAACCAAGTATTAAAATTAGAAGTGAGAGAAAATTTTTATAAGAATCAGTATAGAACTATTTCTTTTTAAAGTGGTGGCTCATTAATTGGACTTTTAAAATTATGATTTGGATTTATGGAAGAAAATGGAGAAAATCTCTAAAATTGAATAAAAAGAAATATCTGAGCATAAAACATCTCCATCATTTATAAACAATATGAATATTATTTTGGCACTGTCAAGATCAAAATTGGAAGAAATTCCAATTTAGAATGTGAAAGTAAAATAGTGAATTATGGGTGACTTAGCAGAATTGATATAAAAAATAAAAATCTTTAGAGAAAGTGGTCTTTAAATGACTAGTCAGCATAAGTGAATACAGAATTTGTAGAAATTATACAGAATCTGGCAGGTACCTACATGGAGTAATTATATCATCTTCAGTAGAGTCTAAGGGAAGTTCACAAGGTAACAACACTAGAAAGGTTCACCTGGAGTTCAGAAGCTATAACAACTTTAATTAATCCCCAGTTGTCTTGTAAGGTGTCGTTAGTTCTAGAAATTTTCAAATGGATCAGAGAAGGGACTTCTTCAAACATTCCTTAGGAGGCAGCTCAACATAAATGACATATTAAGAACTAGTAAAGAGGACAATGATATGATGGGTCTTAGACCATCTTTTTCTCTTGCTCTGTGTCTATGAGGATAAAAACTTAAAAAAGTGGACTGATGAGTTTATTATGCAAGCATCATCTTGCAGTATTAGTATTGCAGTTTCCAGGGGAACTCAATTATTGAAGTCTTTGGCTTAAGACGAGTTACATCCTGTGATTAACAACTTTAATTGGACCAAATATTAAATTCTGTCCGTGTTCTCATACCCCATTTTTTATGTACTCCTCAAAGTCATTAACATTTTCAGAGATCAATCTTCTGAAATTATGTAAATTCATGACGTTCTACCAACCAATTAACTTTCCTCAATGCCCAAATTTTCAGCAAGAATCTATACCAAACCAAAGCCAGAGATGTAGAAAAAAAGTTACTACTTAGCATGTACTACTTAGCATGTACTTAGACTCA